GGCGGGGCCGAGCTTGGTGGGGAGCTTGTTTGGTGCTGGTTGTGCTCTCTTGCTGTAAAAACCCAGCCTTAAGGTGTTTGTCTCTATCTCCCACAGGTTTGGAAGAGGTCTGGTGCATGGTTCTACAAAGGGCTGCCCAAGTACATCACGCCTTTGAAGAGCAGCAGCAAATCCAGTGAGCTGCCCTCACAGCCTTGGCAAAGCGAGCCATCCGTGCCGGAGGCAGAGAGCATCGGGACCAGCCGATCCTTCACCTGGGCCCGGGGAAAAGGTTGGTTCTCTGCTCCTTGCCCAGGAAACAGGCAGGGAGAGAGGGAGAAAGACCTGTTGCCAGCAGGATTCAGCTAATAGGGGAGGCTCTCTGTTAGAGGTAGGGGATAACCAACAGGATGTGGTACGTTTCCCATGTGGGCAGTGGTGGTTTTTGTTGGCTGTGGTATGTCTCTCAGGTTTCACTGTTACTTAAGTGCACATTGGTGGCCCAGACTAGCCCCGGTCCTCCTGGACTCCTTGTCCTTAAGTCCACCCTTGCTTTCCTCCATTCCTTGCAGCTCCCACTGTTTTGCTGGGACTGCCAAGGGAGGGACAAGTGCCATGAAGCAGACACTTGAAGCAGACTGCAGCCCAAAGAGCTCCTACTGCTGAACTACGTAGGATGATGCCACTGATGGACATCATTGTGCAGCCAAGGCTGACAAAAGGCTGATCTTATTCCCTTCCTCCTTGGGGCTGCTTGGTCCTTACTTCTGCTGCTCCACAGAGCACCACTGGGCAGATACCTCAAGTCGCTTTGAGCTGGGTTAGAAATTACCCCCATCTGGGTTAGAAATTACCCCCAGCATCTCCCTGGGGTCTTCCTGGGGCCTGGAGCAAGTGGGCGGACATAGTCTTCCACAGTCAGTGGGCAGGAGCGAGCTGATGCTGGCTATGTCCTTTTGTGCCTGACCCCCCTGAGCAGGTGAGACCGGCAAAGGGTGAAGCTTCTTCCCCAGGCCTTGGGGAGGGGGCTGAGGTTTGCAGCATGGAGAGCTCAGGGCTGAGTTGTTCTTTAAATTGGGTCTCAGAGAAGCTGTTGATTAACTTAGTGCAGGGCTGGGGCCAGAGCACTGACAAGCCTGAAGATTTATTAGCTTCAGCACTCACATCCCTGTTCTCTGAGGTAGACTTTGATTGAAGTAGACCGTTGTATCACATGTGGCGTCTTGGATCGCTGCTGCGTCAGATCCCATTCACAGCACTGCCTTGTAGGGTTTTTTTTCCCACCTCTCTTCCATCTGCCCACCCTGTCGTTGCTCGTATGCCCACTCCAGTGCTGTGCCTAGAGCCAGCTGTGGGGAAACAGCAGCTCGGCATTGATGAGCTGAGCACTCAGGGTCATTAGCACAGCAGCGGATTGACGCTGCAGAATTAAAGCTGCTGCCAGTCTGCTTTGATTTCTCTTCATTTCTTTCTGGTGTGGATTAGCAGAACTGTCTGGCCTCTCTCCCCTTCTGTCTTTTGCTATTAGATCCCCTCAATTGGAGAAGACCTCTTCAGCGTACCAGCAGCATACACTCTTCCACATCAGGATAAATTGTATCAGTAGTGCAGGGGGAAATAACCTTTTAATAAAGAGGACTCAGGAGAGTTGGGTTTACAAACCTTCTCTTCAGGCCCCAGCTAGGAAAGCACTCCCAGCCCTACTGTAAGTTTTGTAATTAAGGACAAATTAGATCAACAATAGATGGTTTTGCTTCCCTCCAGGAGATGCTTGGAAGGAGTTGTCTTAGCAAATGAACTGATTGATGAGGTATTTTCTGTTCACACAATACAGAAAACATTATGAGTCAAAGATGTTGAGCCCAGACCTGGCCTGCTTTTTAGTTCAGCTTTCTAGTTGAGTTTTGTTTTAGGGGAAGGCTTCCCCCTAAATACTGGCAGAAGCAGCAAAGGAGCAGGTGGAGGACAGCAAAGTGGCCTTTGGTAAGCCTTGATGTGGGTGGTGAGCTGCCTTTCTCCCTGTGCTCTGATTTTTGGCTGGCTGCTGTTTTATGGGTTGGATAATATTAATTTATGGTTTTATTTTCTAGTGCTTTCTTTCCTTGTTGACCTTTTCTGTTAGGCTGCCTGTCCTCTGGACAGCTTTCAATGGGCACTGCAGGCTGTAATTCATCTCTGAAGCTGGGAGCTTGTACATCTTACCCCTCCATTTAACTCTTTTTCACCTGCCAGTGCTGGGACTTCTGCTGTTTGTCATCCAAAACCTCTGCAATGTGCAGGGCAGCTGCCTTCCCACATGGAGATGACTTAGCTGTGATATTGCCGTTGTGAATCTGCAACTGGGCCTGGACTGAGCTTTACGAGGCCGTAGCTGACAAGGCAGCCTGCCTTACCTCTGCCTGGCTGATAGCATTTGTCAGCTCACACCTCATACGCCTTCACCTGAATACATCCTTTTGGCGCTGAGTAAAGAAAGCCCTGTTTCTTGTTTGGCAGGATGTTCTCGAGAACGAGCTCTGGCATTTAACATGCCTGACGCTGACAGGCTGCTCTCGGTGGGCTTTCCGTTATCTTGGCCAGCCGTGTCTAACCCCATTGCTCACCTCCTGAGGTGCTGAAGGAGCCGTCTCTCAGGGATTCAAGGGATTCAAGTCAGGTGGGACCAGCACAGGCGTAGCCATGTCCCAGCACAGCCCCCGGAGAGCCTGGGAGAGAGGAGCCGTGGTTGTCCCTTCGACATCCTCCGTGCCAGGAGCTGCCTTTCGGCAGGGACAGGGAAAACCTCAGGTGTCCCTTTTGCGCCCCAAACGAGGGGATCAGCGCCAGGCCCTGGGTACCGGCCGCTCTGGCTGTGCGTGCCGCAGGAGGGTGGGAAGGCAGCGGGACTGAGGGACCGTAGGAACGTGCCTCTTGGAAGAAAAGCCAAACCCACCAGGAAGAAGTTTTATTTTTACACACCCATTATTTCTCTCGTGCTCGCTGACACTGGGATTTGCCGTTGCCTTTAGTTTTTCTGTAATAAACAAGCAGTTGCCATGGGAACCCTGCTATTAGTTAAGGCACAAATGTATTGTCATGGGGAGAATAGCAGTAATATTTCTTGTGCTGGGGAGCAGCTCTGCTCCATGTGGTGGAATGTGGGTGGGTTTCTGCAGCGGGTCAGGTGGGACGGGGCCGTCAGGGGGTGGGGAGCAATAAGCAACAGGGCTTTCCTTCCTCTGCACTCTGAGTTCTGCAGAAAAAAAAGTGAAGCAACTGGGTGGAAAAAAGAAGTGTGATCCCTGAGGTATTGCACTGTTTGGCATGAGGGCTGCCTGCTGCTCTGCTCGGTCTCCGGTGGTTTCTCCCGTTGCAACGTGCTCCAGTCCCGTTGCCAAGCAATGCGACGTGCTGGGCTCCGCGCTGTTGGAGGCACAAGAGCAGCGGCTGGGCAGGGGGATGCAGCAGGTTTGTCCTGCGTCTATGTGCTGGACACCAAATCCCCCGAGTGATGGAGCAGAGAGGAGTGTGCTGGGGCGGGTCAAGCGCTTTGCAGGCCACCGAGGAGTCATCCAACTTCTCTACAAGTTTGGGCAGCACTGAAGTTGCACATGTGCTGCTTCTGAAGGGGAGAGCAGATGGGTCCAGTCCCCTCCTCCTACTGGGAGATATCCCTGCAACTGGGGGCAGCATGATCTAGCATAGGAGCTGCACTCGATGAGATGCTTGGGTTGTAATAAAACTCTTCATCTCCAACCCTCCCACCCGCAGTGACCAGGAGCTGTCAGCCTCCCCGCTCCCCAGAGGTCATGTTTGCAAAGGCTGATGATACAGGTGCTGCAGGGGAGCTGTGTGCTCAAGGGCTCGTGTTCAGCCCACTCATCCAGCGCATCTTGGCTGCGCTGGGTGTGTGCAGCTGTTCGCAGCTGTTGCTGCAGGGTGCCCCTGCGTGCCCATGTGTTTTTTCTGTATTTTTGGCAGCTGCAAGAAGTGACAAGCTTTGTGCGTGCAGGGACTGAGCTCTGCCCTGCAATGGGCAGCAGGAGGGAGCGTGGCTGGCTCTTCCCATCGCAGGCATGCCTGTGCCAAATGCATGCATTTAATATTAGAGCTCAACATGGGCCAAGTGCTCCTTTCCCCTTGGCCTTGGCGCAGCCTCCCCACATCCTCTGCTGCTGGGGTTAAGTGCAGCCCGGCAGCCCTCCACTGTTCCCTGCGGCTCTCTGTGCTGCGAGGCTCTGGTACCTCTGGCTCAGAGGTTGAACCACGTGTCAGAGGGATCTTGGGCTCCAGCAGCAGCCGTGGGGGTTCACGCTCTCGATGAGTGACCCATTCCCTGTGGGCATACTGCTTTTCTTGCAAGTTTTATCTCGGCATATTTTTTTTATGAGCTTTTTTTCAGTCAGCTGGAGATGGAGAGGGATGAATCTGTTACGTTCTCTGAAAGTACAGCCGTCCAATGACTCTTACTGATATATCAGCAACTGCTGGAACACCAGATTTACAACTTGTGGGCTCTGGAAAGTGCCAGCAGAAGGTCTGGGAGCTTTGGGAGAAAAATTACCTTAAAGGGAAACATTGGTGCAGTGGGTAAAATACACTTTTATTGGCAGCAGAGGAAATGAGAGCAGACAGGGCTGCTCCTGCGGTGTGAGTGCCTTCATGTCATTAATATTTTCCTCCTCTAGTGCCGGTCCTCTCTGAACTGCTGAGTGGCAGAAGGGAAGGCAGCTAAAGTCACCTCCACGGATTCACTGGGGCCTTCTCCAAATAAATCCTGAATTCCAGCGTTTTTAAAGGATTCGTGGAGAAAGGAGCTGTTCTAAAGCGATGGATTTTATGAATCCAGGAGGCCAAAAAAGGATGATGACCAAGTGGGACAGGAGTGCATTTGCTGAGGGAATTGGGCAATGGGATGGGATGGTCAGAATGATTCTCACAGCTGAGATTTGGATTTTGTAGCGAAGAGCCTGGTATGTATGGGTTGTTATTAACAGTATTTATATATAGTCCCCCACCTCTCCCAGGGAGCTTTGGGGAAGTAGTGAAGCTGTCTTTAAGACAGCAAAGCCCAAAGCCAAACCTTTGCTTTGAGAACTCTTAGCCAGAAGTGCAGCCTCCCTGCTTGTAATGGGGCTTCGCTCTCTGCCCGGCTCAGCTCCACAGCCCCTTTCCCCGCAGGTGAGAGGTCCCGTTTCTGATGGCGCTGGGAGGGGAACGCTGCGGGTGCAGGAGGAGCCGATGCCCGGGGGAAAAGCTGCGCGGGCAGCGAGGAGGGTGCCTGGCAGCCTGCCTTCTGTGCAGCGCTTGCCAGCAGCACGGCATGCATAGGGAGCTGCCTGCCAGGGCAACTTCAATAACACTTTGCAATAACACTGGCAGCCAGCTTTAATATCCTCAGAGATATTAACTCCAGAAAAGTGCTTTTTTAGGTATTAATTTTTTTTTTTTAATAAAATATTTTGTGTAGTACAGATTGCTGTCTGAATACAGGAGCATCTGGAGAGGTCCTTGGCAGAAATGTTTGACAGCTTGTGCTCACCTGTGCGAGGGGAGAGATACCCGTCCTCCTGCCCTGGGCAGTGTTAAAGGGTTTGTAGCTCTGCGAACCACGTGTAGTGAATTCTAGTGCTGATGTAGAGAGATGAACTGACGATTCTCTTTGCTACCCCACAGTTGTCACCTTGTACCACCGCACCCACGTCCCTCCTGTGCCCGGCAGCACTGTGAGGCTGGGCACTATGAGTAACACGGCACGAGGGCAATGGGGTTTGTTCAGCAGCAGAACAGGGAACTCATTTCTCATATAAATGTGAGCTTATAAGTACATATGAATGAATATAAAGAAATAGTTGGGGCTTCTTTTTTCTACAGTAGAGGCTGTAGGTTGCAGTGTTGCCTATTCTATGTCCCATACGAGCCAATATTTTACTTCCCACCAGGAATTGTGACCCACTGTTTGAAATGGCTTCTGAGCTGCCAGGAGAGCTGTATCTGCCTTAGATGGAGAAATGCTGTAGGTGCAATCCCTCAAACAAAAGACAGTTGTTTTCCCGTTACCTTCCTCCTCAGCCCCATCATTTCTGTTCTGAGATCAGATCATTATAAAAACTCAGGAGATGGAAAAACACCTTTCTCATTTTACCCAGAGCAGCTGGCAGTCTTTTACACTGGTATAAGCAGGAGAGGTGCTTGCATGGAAAAGTGGAAACAACCTGCCAATTTGGGAAGTTGTGTCTGGCAAAATGAGGTTCCTTCAGCTCTTGTGGAAACTATGGAGGGTGGAAAGCAGCAGGATTAGGGCCAGGATTTGGGGAGGGAGGGAAAGAAGAAAAAAAGCAGCCTTGAAATGGGGGAACAGTCTCCTTGAGGAAAAGGAGCGATCCTTGCCTTTTAAGCCTTGGGGACATAGGAGTAATATAGTTCTGGGCAGTATACTGGTAGACATGAGTGTCTGCTGAATGGATGATGAGCTAGTAAGGTTGGTTTTTCATGTAATCGCTGCAGGGTTTTTTGATGTGCTCAGTATTTATCTGGTGTTTTCCTCATAGATCCTGGAGCCTCTGCAGAGACCCTGCTGCACTTGAAATGCGGCTTGGAGGAAGCCAGCCCCTCTTCCCACATTACTCAAATGTGGATGCTCTTGTGGTGGAGCCGGGACCCCTCCACCTGCAGCTGAGCAGGAACCAGCTTCGTACCCAGCCCAGCCCTTAGCGTGTCGCTCCCGCGTGGGGGGCGGGAAATGGCAGGAGGAGGGGGCTCGCTTGCATGCCGGCATGGGGGTCAGTGGGAGCAGAGCCCGGCTCCCAGGCCAGCCACACCATGGGCTTCTGGGCTTTGCAGCAGGGAGCTTTGGGCAGCAAAGCGTGGCGCAGGAGCGGTGTGGTCCCCATGGTCCCAGTCAGGTTTAGGAGAGAAGCACTGGTGGTGTGTGCATCTGCTTCAGGTGCTGGCACTGCTGGAGTGTGTGCAGCAGAGTTATAAATCATCTGTAAAAAGTAAAAGCACATCATGTTTGAGAGGAAGAGTGAACAGCTGTGGGGGAACTGCAGGTACGGCTCCTTTTGGAGAGGGAGAATGTGATCAGCAAGTCAGCATTTGTTCATATTTTATTTGGATCCATCTGGCACCCTCTTTGGTAAGTGTTATGAACATTGTGAATAACTGTCTCTCTCCTCTCCTCCTCCCGATCTTTTCTGCAGTGGTTTCTAGCGACAGTGAGAGCGACTCGGAGTTCAGTTCCTCCAGCCTGGATGACAAGCCTTTACCTGTGGGGTCAAAAGGCTCACAAGACAGAAAGCACCGAGCAGGACTGGGTGAGGAGTTGCAGTTCCTTGTGGCTGGAGGGTGGGAAGTGTGAAGTGCTTGAATGTTTGGCTCGTGGTACTGTGGGTTTTGGCTCAGCCACTTGCCTGCCCTACATGGGTGCAGCCCAGTGGCTTTAGCTGTGCCAGGTGAGGATCTGGTCCTTTCTCACTGGAATAGTATCAATGGGTCAAACTGGTGGTGAGTCGCTCCATTGCCTACAGCCTTTCAGGGTCTGCCCTTGGCAGTTGGGAGCTGCTCCCAGCTGCCTGGCAGCACGTCTCTGGCCAGCTCCTCACTCCTGGCTTTATAGCACTGGAATCGCGGCTGCTCTTTTAGGAGTAGAGCGTGGGAACTAGGCTTTGACCCTGCTCCTGAGGGTGCCTGGCTGGGAGCAGGGAGGCTGCGGCACTCTCAGGACCTGGCCAGCACCTGCACCCACTTTCCCTCCCACAGCACCATCTCTCTGTTTCGTCCCTGCAGCGCCCATCGGGGAACCCAGCCAGGCCATGGGCAGGGCACTGGGGAGCACTCACTCCCCTGCCCTCTCGGGGAGCCGCAGCAGCCTGGGCAGCGAGCAGGGGGCTGCCCTCAGCGCCACGGAGAGCTGCCAGAGCGACCAGCCGGCGGATGGGCGCGACAGTGATGTTGGCAGCAGAGTCCCCGGTAAGCTGAACCTCCTCTCCGGGCGGATCCATGCTTTTGGGGCTGACTTCCCTCGAACCACAGCTTTCGCAGTGGCACACCTGGCAAAGCTGCGGCCCGGGATCACCTTTCCCTGCTGCTTTTCTCATGGCGGATGCTGTCACAGCATTACAGCTCACTCCTTCCCTCTTCCCCATGTGCAGCATCTATTCTGCAACATGAGTAATCGTCTGGGGTGGGAGCTGCCTACACCCACCTCTGAGAGCAGCCATAGCCTGGGTCTGTCCCCCTGCAAAGGCCTGGAGCTCTTGTCTGCCCTGCAAAGGCAGCAGAACAGATTGAGCTTTTACTGAAGCAAAGCAGAAGTCCAGCAGCTTTATGAAACTGAATAAAAATTTTCCTAATGTTAGATGGCTCTTAAAGCCAAGCAGGGCTCTTCCCAGACCTGTGCAGTGCAAAAAAAAGACACTTTTTCCCCCTCAACAACCTTGGAACAATTAAGTGACTGTGAGAGCAGAGGCTGCTATCACATCTGATCTAGAGCAGCTGAAAGAGATGCAAATGTGTTCTCTCTGCAGTTCCCGCTAATCTATTCAATAACTGCTTAAGTTATCATTTAGCGCCGCTCCCTCCAGAGTGTTCCTGCCGCCCTGTGAACTGCCACTCCTTTTGTTCCTGAGCCTGTTTTGTGCTGTGCATGTTGAGGCGTAAATTGGATTAGAGAGAGCAGGTTTTTCCTTTAGTGCAACATGGAGTCATAGTCCCCCTCCCCACGCTTCCCGCTAGAAATAGCCAGCATAAAATTGTTTCTCTGTTCTTCCCTCCCATCCCAAGTTTCAGCTATTTGCAGTTTTCTTTAATTTTAGTTTTCGTAAAGCAAATCAGTTGAGTGATACTTCTGCTCTGTCCATCCTCTCTCTGGATTACAGTGCTGCCCCAGACTGGGCGATTTATTTTAAATGGCCGATTCCCGTTGTGTGTTGGCTCTGATGCCTACCGGAGCGGAGCAGAGCAGCAGGTTGTTCTGCGGGATTGAAGCGGGTGGTGGTGGATAGTGGGTGTGACTCCTTGGGTGCTTTTTCTGCTGGTGCTACATGGCCATGCTGAAGTCTGGATGGATGCACACCCAGACAGTGTGTTTGTATAGTGCTTAGCACTTTGGAGCTTTCCTGCCATCTGTTTGAACTAGCTGCTGCCTGGCCATGACAGTGCAAACAATATCTCAGAGGCAGAAAATGCCTTTTTCCTGCTAAAAAACTCGTATGCAAAGCTTGGTACAAGGAGTCAACGCTTTCCAGTGAGATCTCTCCTTGCTAGGCAGGGGAGAGCTAAAAATGACAGGCAGCATGGATATATATTTTAAAAAACCGAAAACTATAGTAATCTCATGAGCCCAGTTAAAACAGTCCCTGAGATGTAGAGAGGATCCTGCTAAGGAAAAGGTTAAGCCAGGTTGGCTGACTAGAGAATATCTGTAAAGATTTTTATTATGTCTGGGGTCATTTATTTCCCAGTCTTCTTGCAGAAGGGGCTGCTTTGTTCAGACATGGTGCTTGCAGCAGCGAGTGCCTTGGTAGGAGGGTTCCACAGCCCCCAGAGCAGCGGGAGGGAGACAGGGAGACAGCAGCCAGTATTTCTGCTCACGTGTGTTGGGGGGGGAACGAAGCCGGTGGTGGTTGCAGTCGGCAGGCACAGGCTTGGGAACGGATGGAGGGTGGCAGTGGGCAGGGTTCTCTGTGTCATGTCATGTCATGTCCGGCCAGGGAGCTGCTAAGGGCTTGCAGGGAGTTAGGTGGCACTACAGGTATGGCTCTGCGGCCACAGAAGGCGGCAGGACAGGCTATGGTGGCTGGCCTGTCTTTGAGCCTGTCCTGTACCGGCATTAGACCTCACACTCCTTTCTGCAACATGGATGCCGGCGAGGGCTGGTGTGGCAGCGTTTGAGACTCTCCCAAAGGCCTCTGCAAGGAGGCGAAGCTGGAACCTGAGCGTGTTGTGGGAGGCACATGATGTGCCCCTGTTGTGTTTGCCATGGCTGTATGCTCTGCCGCACAGTGTGGGTCATCTTCAGCGCTTCAAGGTGGGGAGGAGAGGGACTTTGTTTTTCCTCCGATGTGTTTGGGATGTGGCCTTGCCTCTGTGCAGTGAGTGAGCAGCAGGGGGGAGCATGGTCGGCATTCGTTTACCCTGAGAACACTTAACGTGCCCAGCGGGAGGGACGCTGCCATGATGTGATCTGTGCAGTGAACTATTGGCAATCACGATCCATTACGTGTGAATTTAGTAATCAGCATTACGCAGTGATACGACTCGCGTGGGCTCGTATTGTGTGCAGCTCTGTAGCCAGTGGTTTGAGCAGATCAGACATCCAGGAGGCTGAAATACTGAATGCCCCCATGCTTTGCCAGCAGCCTGGCAAGAGCAGAAAATGAAGAGCAAAACCAGCAAAAACTGTAGTCCCCTAGGAAGTCTCCTGCTCTGCAGAGGGGTTCACGTGCTGTGGGATGCTGGAGGTCTGGGCTGTGCAAATGGTGGGAGCCTCAGGACAAGAGGCAGTGCCTCTCCCCCTCTTTATTTAGACGAGAGCTTCATCTGTCTGTGAGGGGCTTTTCATGATGGGTCCTTCTGGATGCCACTGTTTGCCAAAAAGCAGAGGCTGCTTCTGCTGTTCATCTCTTCAGAGAGTGGTGGAGGTGACGGGTGCTGTATGTCAAGACTGGCAAAACTCTTCACTGCATCTCCCTGCCTGTGGGAGAGTCCCTGTGCTCTGCTTCAAAAGCAGAGCAAGGGGCAAAGATCCTTTCTCATTTAAATTGCTGGTCCTCAGTTGCAGACTGAGGACATTAAAAAGTGATTTTGCTATAGCTTTTCTGAAAAGCTCTGCAACTTTGTAACACTGTGTTGGGAGCAATTTTTGCTTCATATTAGCACCTCAGGTGGTGTTCTACCGGTGACTTTCTTTTCACTTCTTTTTCTCACCTCTGTTCTAATTCCGCACTCAAGTGCGACTTTGCAGAACACTTTAGCATCCTTAAATCCCAGGCCACAGCCGGAACAGGGGACTAGGGAGTGGTACTGCAAATGCTGCTGCTCTCATAGTCCTTAGCTCTTTAAGCCTGAAGGCCAAGACGACAGCATGGTCGTGCGGCCAAGGGAAAACAAGGAGCTATTAAGGAGAGTTTGTAGGTTTCCAGTGTGTTGCTCCGGCTCCAGCTGGGGTTTGGTGAGGCAGATAATGAAGCCTGGGGTTTGTCATAAAATGACTCATTGTCAGAGCTGCATTGGGATGTAGGCAACCTTAGCCCATGAGCCAAAGTTGCAGAAGAGAGTGGCGAGTTGAGAGGCTGCCAATTTTTTTTTTTTTTTTTTTTTAGCACCTGCTTTTAAACCCTTTCAAAAGCATCATTTCTGAGGGTCTGGTGTTTCTTCTTCTTCTGAAGCTTCAGTTCCTGGAGGTTCCTGCTCTGGCATGATAGCTGTTAAGAAAAGGTCATGCGCTGGTTTTCCTGGAGAATGTTTTATCCTAAAGAGAATGAAATTTGCACACAGGGAAGAAGCACAATCTTTCTTTTTCCCCTTACTTGCCCCTAGCTAGGGAGGTCACTCACCTTGTTCTGGCTGTACAGCTGATATGTTAAGAGGTGCCTCAGTTAAAAAAGAGCAAAATCCTCCCCGTTGTTAATTATGACATTTTTATTAAAGAAAGGGAATATTAAACAATTAAACAAAGAAATCATCAATATCTTACAGTGGTTTTCATTACTCCATGGAGAGCTTTTAATGGAGATAACATCTTTGAGCTTGGACCTGGCTGCTGCAGGGGGTAAATTAAGAGCAAAAGGCATCTTTCTTCAGATCAGTAACAAGTTCTGCTTTGGTGGGTCCCAGTTAATGGGGTCCTCAGTGTCTTCTGAGGAATGGGTCAATCCTGTTTGGTATTCTGTGGGTCACCTGAACAGCTTGCTGGTAGGGAACAGTGAGTGAGCTTGGTATGGGCTGTGGGGCTGGAGAAGGCTCTAATTTGTGCTTAGAAGAGGAGGTTTGAGAAAGAGCCACAAGATAAGCTAATGAATGAGTAGCATACGTCTGAGTGCAAATCACAGTCTCCCCATCTCTGCTTGTTTGCCAGTGTGTTGTCTAAATCATTAATACTTAAAGAGCAGTACAGCAGCTGGCAGTTAAATAGAGCCACGTTAAACAGTGGTGTTGCTGAGTCTGGGAGCTTAGACGATGATGGCAGCGCCTAGCGGGGTATGAGAAACATGGCTTGGAATCACAGGGTGAGACTGGCTGGAAGCATCTCCAGAGGTCAGCAGGTCCAGCCTGGTCCCTTCTCTCAGGGTGCTGAATCTGTAGCCTTTGGCTGCTTGCTTTGTAGCTATCATGCTGGGAGAGGCTGAGCAGAGCTGAGAAGAGGGCCTGGAACTGAGAGAGATGGGCAGGAAATGCTGCTTCCAGCTCTCTTAATTTGGGGAGATTTATGCCCTGTCTTTCAGGAATTGACTGGATTTAGAAATGAGGTGATGTCACTCTCACCGTGGCTCAGTGCCTCCCTAGCTGGGGTAGGCATCAACTTTTGCTCATAAATATGCAAGCTGTTAATACATGAGGCAGGCAGAGCCATTCTGCATTATTTTCGTGGCGGGAAAGTCTCAGGGCATCTTTGAAGTTAAAGCATTAATGTCTTTTTTTTTCTTCCCTTCTGTTTCTCAGACATCTGTTTTGCTCCCTCAGGGATGATGAGGAGGTAACATTTTGCTTCAGTGGATCTAACTACTCCATTCCATGTAGGAAAAAAATTGTCCTAACAGTAATTAGGCTCTGAATGGGATAGTAATTTCTTTAATGACTTTCTTCATGGCAGTCTTTGGGGACGTGACTTTTGTTTTCCTGTGCTTGGTAAGAAAATTGCTTAAACATTTTCAGACCGCTCTTTCCCTCGTCCATGTGAGCTACAGCCAAACAGCATAGTCTTCCAGGACTGGCTTTGCAGCAAGGTGAAATAGGTGGGCAACCGCGCAAGGGTGCCGTGCGTGCAACCCCTGCTCTTCCTCCCTCTGCCTTCAGCCCCTGCCTGCACTGAGGGCACAGGATAGGAAGGAAGAGGCGGTCAGATGTGGAGGAGAGATCCTCATCACACCCAGCCTCTCCCCTCCAAGCCTCTGCCTTCTGCACTGGCTGCCTCATCAATCTTCGGGCACTGCTGTTTGCCGCCCTTTGCTAAAAGCTTGCTGCCACTGCCACGGGATTGAGTTTTCCTGCTGCCAAGGAGGATGAGTTGTCCCTTTTCCACAAAGTGAAAAAAATTGAATTGTGCCTTCATGGCTGAGAAGCTTTGAGCTGTCCCTGCATCCTCGTATTGGTACTGCAGAGCACCGAATGGTCCTGCTGTATTTATAAATAAAACATGTCTTCGGGTAGTGACGGCATTAGGAAATGATTCAAGGTTTGCATTCTAGATACAATGCATTTGTAAATATGAACCTCAGAAGAAGCATATGCCCCCTTCCATGTTTTAAGGAATTAAAATATTTTCGTCCTCAAGTGGTAGAACCAAAACATTTTTAGCTCTTTTGAGTCTGCCTTGAAGTTAAGTGAATAAAGGCTCAAGTACCTAAAAATAAATTACTTTCACTATTTCTGTAATTCTTTATGGAGTTTTAAATTGAAGACTTTTTCCCTGAAAATAGAGGAATGACAAAGATTCATTCTCTTGCCTGTTTCACTCAATATATCTGGAAACAAGTCTGCTGCTGAAGATGAAACTCCTATTTTTGTGCCTTCTTTCACATTGCAGAAGTCTGTGCTTTGGTCTTTGATCAAACAGCCTGTCTGGCCTCCTGCCCCCACGTTCTTAGACTTATTCTCTGCCCTTTGCAATACGTTTACTCCTTGCGCTTCCAACTTTCTATTCAGCATTTTGCACAAAGCACTGAGGGCAATAGTTGATTTAATCTTTCAAAACAAAGCATAAAGGAAAGAGCATGGGAAGTCAGTAATAGAAGTTAAAAGTCTGGATTTTGGAGTTTTTGTAAACACATTGAGAGGTTTTATGGCTTGGGAAGTTGTCTTTCAACTGGGACGTCGGCCAGTAGCTGGTGTGAGGAATTTGCAGCACTCCCCATGCTTTGAACGGCAGTGACTGGAAACATCCCATGTCCTTTCTCTAGCAATCAACATAATTTGTGCCCCCTTCGGTTCAAAGAAAGGGGGGAGAAGTTAGTACTGACCCACCGCTGCCTTAGAGCTCTCCGCATTGCCAGCCCTGCGTTTCACCCCGTGCACTGGAAGCAGCGTGTCCCAGCAGACCCTGAGTTTCGCCAGGGTCTGCTGAAGTGATTAGCTCAGGTTCGTTTAGTCGACGTGAGGCAGAGTGCCTTCTGCAGCAGAGCATTGCTGTCCTGCGCCCATCCCTGGCCACAGGCAAGGGCTACATTCTGCTGCGGCTCCTGTCCCCGGCCCAGGCACATGGAGGGCAGGGAGGTGGAGGACCTGCTCTGTGGCACGTGGATGCTGTCGCTGTTTGGAAACCTCTGAGAGCTGAAGCTTGGCTTTCTGTCTGACTTGGGCCTTTGAGGGATGCAGGTACCAAAGGACCAGTTCTATCCCTATTTCTTTCCCCTGTCTTTTCTTTCTTTAATAAAGTTTAATGGGCCCTGACTGCTGACAGAGTGTGGAGTAATGATGCACAGACGTTCTCTTCATTATTATTTTTAGGAGGCTCTTAAAATGGCACTGAGCATGTAAAAGCAACGTAAAATAACTTTGTCAAGTCTCTCCGCTTCTTCCCAAACAAAACTTTTGTCTTTTATTTCTTTCCCCTGTCTTTTCTTTCTTTAATAAAGTTTAATGGGCCCTGACTGCTGACAGAGTGTGGAGTAATGATGCACAGACGTTCTCTTCATTATTATTTTTAGGAGGCTCTTAAAATGGCACTGAGCATGTAAAAGCAACGTAAAATAACTTTGTCAAGTCTCTCCGCTTCTTCCCAAACAAAACTTTTGTCTTTGTATATTTTGAAGGCAAACGGTGCGTCCACACCAGAACGCGATGCTGATGAAGGTGAAGATGGAGCTGCTTTGCCTGGATCCAAAGTTCACCCCTTGCCTACTCCTGTAGATCTCACTCCTGACAACAACTGCTGCCGGTGGTGACTTTATGATGCCGGCCCTTGCACAGGCATTAGCAACACAATGGCATCTGGGAAAACGCCTGCCTGTCCTCCCTGCCTCACTGGTTTGGTTTGGTCTGGTTTCCCCTTCTGCTGACTGACACGCACTTTGGGGTGCTGCTCAGAGAGGAGTGCTGTGCTGCGCGGTGCTGCCATGGGGTCCAGACCCGTGTTTATTGAAAGGGGCGTGCAAAGTGCTCACTAGAGCTGCAGAAATGCGTGCTGCCTCCGCTGTTCCTGGCTTGCCAAGCCCAGTCCTGGTTCAGCTCCTGGCTTTGCAGTCTTCAGGAGAAAGGGAAATTCACCCCTATGTCCCTGAAATGGGGTGTGAGGAGACCGCAGCCCTTCTACTGCTTCTCAGTCCAGGGGTGAATTTCCCTCTGTGAACCACAAGGGTGAGACCGGGGCTCTGATTTGCACTTGACTCCCATGGGCCCAGGTTGTCACCCCTTGTGTTTCTTGTCACTGTTATTCTGGTTTGAGTTGGTATGAGTTTGGTGGGGGCATCCTGAATCAGCTGGTGAAGTTGTGCTCCCGTTCACTTCCACTGAGGTCGGTCTCTGTGATAGGGCTGTCTGCTCAGGGAGACACTTCAGTTAGTAAAGAAACGCTCAGAGAAGTTTGCTACGAATTTTTTGGTCCTCCTGGCTGTGCACTGGCCTCTGTGTCCTGTGGTGAGAGTGATGCTTTGGCAGTGGGGTCATGGGCAATGTGTATGTGCTGCAGCTCCTGGTGGGAGAACGCCCACCACCCCACAGCCGAGCTGGTTGCCTTTGTGTACCCAAATTGGATAAAAGCTTTCAAATTACTTTATCTTGTTAAGCTCTGCAAATTTTCCTCCAGCGTGCACACCTTGTCATCTCTTGCATGAGCAGGGGCCTTTGTTTTACCTTTTTCCTGCGAGTCTTGAGCATCTGGCTGACTTTGATGGTGTCATCATGAGTCAGGTTGTAGAAAGCTGCGTGCCCCAGCCCTCCTTATTATCCGGGATGGACAATTTCCCTCCAAGGCCAGACAGATGAGAAAAATCAAATTACCTGACATCTCTAGAGCAATTAGATCATTGAAGGGTTGAACAAAACCCACACTAGGCAAGTAGAAGTCTGTGGATTTTTATTAAATGCTTTGGATCTGACCCGTCTTTTGCTGAAGAAACAAACGATTCCAAGAAGTTCCTTCTGAAATCATGGATTTAAAGGCAATTTGTGCCTGTTAATGTCAGCCTTTTCCCTTGGTTATTACTCTTTTGTTCTGTTTTCCTTTGCTGCTGGGTGCTTTGTGCGCATGTAGTATATGCTCTTACAAATGGCTGCAGTGTGAAGATAAATGAGATTGGGTGCTGGAACACTCTAACAGGAGATCGGAAATCAATCCTTGACTTTCTTTCTAAATTAACATGGTCCAACAGAGGACCGTTCCCTTACTGCTGTTCCAGCTAATGCGCTATGGCAAGTTGCTGGGAAAATCCTTCCAGCTCTTCCTCTGTGATCTGTTTCTGCCTTTATAAAAATGAAAACAAAACCTTTGGATGATGTGGACTCTTTGAGATGGCATAAAGAGAAACCACTGAACATGGGCTTCACAACATCGGTGTTGAAGAGAGCAAGGGATGAGGTTGTTCTCCACTGAGGGATGCTTTATGTCGTGGTCTGTGTTGTTTAAACCTGGCCATTGAGGCTCAAGGAACTGCATCTCTGAAAGGGGTAAAGCCAAAATTATTAGCTGTTTCTGAAAAAGTAAATCCAAAAGTCAGCTTTTGCTGAAATGTCGGTATGATTTCAGAGCTGAAGTCATGCTGTTTCTTCCGAGAGCTGTAGGGTCTTCAATTTCAGAAGTGTTTTGCCACCAAAAAAGTCCTGTCTTGCCTTGGAGCTTTTGACAGTCCTACTGAGGCTGTCTTGCTCATGCTCTCATTACCGCAGTGCCTCAGACAGCCTGGCCTGCCAGCCTAAGTTAATTCTTTAGAAGAAGGAGAAGGAAAAAAAACACTTAAAAATTGACTCCATTTTTTTTAAACCTGTTACTTTCTCACCAAAAACTCTACACTGGGTTGGAAAGAGTTTTTAAAATTGAGCATGTAATTTCTAACTCTTTGTATGTTTCTTGTGCTTTGTTCCTGGGCAGTGCAGGCAGGTCAGTCGTGTTTCCACCCCCACCCTCGCTTCTTCTACCACACTGTGGATTGCCAGCTCTGCACAGGAACCTGATAATCCTTACTAGCTTACTGTGCAGCTTTGAGGCATGAGTTTGATTTTTAACTGGACTAGGTTTTATGAAACACTCTCAAAGATAAATTTGGGACTGCTCTTCTACCAGTGAGGCTGGAAACCTTTCTTTCTTACGTCTGTATTTTACCTCCATGGAGTAATTACACCTGAATTCCAACCAGAACCATTCGGTCATCTATGGAAAGACTCCTCTTGGATTGAGGGAAGGATCTAGCCCAGAAGAGTGTGATCTCCCACATATGAATGCGATAGAGGAACATCCACAGCTCTGTGCACATATTTTCTATTAAAAACCACTCTTCTCTTTGTTGCGTCTGTCTTGGTTGTGTTTTGTAGCTTTGGTTGGAATATTATCCGAAATCTGTACTGGTTGACTGCCTTTTTTGTTGGCTTAAGGTGGGCAAGAAGGGCTCAGTGAGTAGTGCTTAGTCTGCTCTGGTCGTTTGTGTTTCTTTTATTATTTTGTTGTTCTTGTGTCCATCCCTTACAACTTTTATGTAGTGTTTTAGTACTGGAAACAATAAAGCTTTGGCTCAGTAACAACTGTTTGCCATTCTTGAAACAGTAAAAAGCTTTTTTCCATTCCCAGGTTGCAGATACTCTCCAAATCCTTGGGCTGGCTCCAGTGAGGAAAGAAAATAATCCAGCCAGTGGAATGGTGATTCACATGGCTGGAGCGTAATTGAATTCTGCACTTGAAAGTCATCTTTTCTCTTGCCCCCTTTGGTACCTTGTGCTGGCGATGGCAGGGGGCACAGGTCTGCTTCTCAGCCCCTCGGTGGAAGGTTTTCCATGTTGTAACCACTAAGCATAGAGCAGCACCAATTGTCATTCTGTCAAGTGCTGTCCCCGTGGCCTCCCAAGGCTCGTCACTCGCTCTGGTTTGACAATCGGGGTCCATTTAGCTTTGCCTACAGAGAAGCATCTCCGCATTGTTTGCCGAGCGTGTGCAGCCCTGGCTGCTTTTTTTTGGCATTCAGCTTCAAGGTTTCAAATGGCTTTTTAATCTGATTTTGCTTTTCCCATTTTAAAAGCTCCTCGATAATTGCTGTTGGGATTGTTTTGCTGGGGAGCTGCCATTAGTCCAAGGATGGAGCGTGTCAAGGACTAACCACCTCTTACGTTGTTCCTTCCCCCTCCGCTTGCCATGACAACAGCCAGTATGTGGGGAAGTCGACTGCGGGATCTCTGAATCAAAAACACTGGCCAAGTTTCCATGTTTGCTTTTTACAACTATAGTTTGAGGGGAAAGGGGATGCTTTTCTCTGTGGGAACCATGCGTAGTAGTTGAACGTAGCTGAAGCAAATGGGCTACCAGCTGGTATTTAGACAATGTGTTTCTGGCCATTACTGAATCGGACAGTGAAGGCCCTGGACTATCAGCTGGAGTGCTTGGACAGTGACACAAAATGGCAGATAATCTCTGCAGATGACTGGAGTTTATTTGTAAAATAAAACTTAGCAGCAGTTGCTCTTCTCTCCTCTTCCCCACCCCTCCCAGAAGATGTTTCCTTCCAGGGAAAAGGGCTAGTGGCAGCAATGTCTCACCAGCCCACCTCTCCTATTTCTTCCTGCCACCGCTCCCATCATTTTGTTCCTCTCCGTGATGGAGACTGCTCTTCCAATATTAACACCTTGTTTCCGCAGGTGGGTGCAATTGAAGGAGAGTTCAGGGAAGTTTTTTTGAAGGGCTGATGCTGCAATCAAATAATGGACAGCAGGCACAAGATGGCAGGTGACGGGTAAGCATCTTGTGGAAAACTTTTATCTTGAGCTGCTCGTTCAAATTCCTTCCTGACCATTGCCTCTTATTAGCAGTATATTCAGGTAGCGCTAGAAATGCCTGCGATGCTTGAGAGGCACGAGATGAGGATCTTGCTGTGTAGCTCCATGGCAGTGCAGAGACAGAAACATGATGTGTGCTGCCTGCCAGCGCACACAGGCAGCCAGGCACATCCTCGTACACCCCTGTCCTGCGCCTCTCTCCCTGCAGAAATATTTCCTCTTGTTATCTGTATGGCAAAACGTGAAAGGAGCTAGGCCAGCCCCACGGCTGGTGTAGCGCGTTGCTGCTGGCCTGTGCCCCACTGCTGAGCAGTCCCTGGAGATGCCTGCACAGCACCCAAGGGTGCTGCTCTGGTCAGTGCCTGGGAGCTGCCCCTTTGAGGGACGAATTCAAATCCCCTTGAGGTGGAGGGCTGTACACATTCACCTCCATGCTTTGCAGAGGTTCTGTGGGTTTGTTTGAAGGCATCCGTTGCGTTTCTTTTTGCTTCCACTGATTTCTGTCTGGCACTGCGAGCTGTTTGTAAAATCTTGGAGGGATTATTGCTCTTGTTTTCCCTCTCTGGAACGAGTGGCTCTACATTATGTATTCATATTTTGCCAGGAAGGATGGATTGTGGTTTTAAAGTATTTTTGTTGTGGACTGTATCAGTTTAACAGCAACTGTTATGCTCTGAGCCCTCTCTCAGCCCCCAGCTATATGCCATTTCCTCCCAGGTGCTTCCCTGTTATTCTGTAGTTGACCAAATGCGGCAAATGGGTGTCACTACCTCCCTTTCTCATCAGCTCGCCTACCAGCCTAATCACTGTAAGCAGTTATTATCTGGGGCTGGAAACTTGCTGCTAATCAGGGCCTTATCAGGGCCATCTGGG